GCAGTCTACAGACGCAGCTGAGCCGGGGCCAGGGCTGACGGAGGTGCCGGCTACAGACGCAGATGAGCCGGCGCGGGGCTTGACAGAGGTGCACTATACAGACACAGCTGAGCCGGCGCCGGGCCCAACTGAGGTGTCGGCTACAGACGCCGCTTAGCCGGCGCCGGGCCCTACGAGGTGCAGTCTACACGGAGGTGCAGTCTACAGACGCTGCTGAGCCGGCGCCATGGCTGACGGAGGTACAGTCTACAGACGCAGCTGAGCCGGCTCCGAGCCCGACGAGGTGCCGGCTACAGACGCTGCCTGCTGATGTCTGCGAAAAACTCACGGCAGCGCTCGGAGTGCTTAACTCTGAAAAAGTTGTCGCTCTCTACTCGCTCCATCCCTCCCCGAAACTTGACCTTACTTAAATCTCTCGACCTTGACCCTGAACAAATGACCAGGCCTGTAAAGCTTCGATTCACCAAGCTTTTATTCTCACTCTGCCGTTTTCGGTCTCTGGATGAAGCCTTCTACATCAGCAGAATATCAGTTGCTAGCGTGTGTGTTAGTCCATAGATCGTCGGACAGATGTGTTCAGCCTCCCGACACCGCACACGACTTCCCTCCACTGTCGACTTTGTTCACTTGCCGAACCAGTGTGAAATCTGCTTCCTAGTTTCATCATCCTTAGATAAAACATAGCCCCAAACCGTTTGGTTGCAATGTAATGGCCTTCGTATATAATGGCCATACAAGCGTAATGGCCTTCGCCATTACGCTCGATTTTGAACGCACATTGTTTCCTTATTGTTAACTTGCTACGTAATCAGTTCGGTTACGTTTACTTGTCGTAATGGAACGCCCATTCCTATTATCGCTGTAATCAATGGTTTTTGTTTACTTTCTGCCCTAGTATACGTCTACGTTTGCCTCTGGGCCTGCACTGCACGGCAGGAAGTGTGACGATTCAGACATGAAGCCGCGCCGGCGTAATGCAAGTACCTGTAGAGCATAGCGCGTGCCACTCAGCCACGTCTGCAATAAAACCTTACCTAACTTAGATTCATGGAGTAAACTACGAGAAGAAGAAGAACCTATAACCTTACGCGTTTTTTAATTGCGTAGGACAAGCAGACGTGACGAAAATAAGGTAACCTCACTTCATCTCACGATTCTTAAGTCATTGATATGTGTGGCGAGTTAGACGGTCAAGTTGTTTCAGTTCATGACTCCATGTGACGGAAATGAAGAGCGCGTAGATTCACGCCTTCGTTTTAGGAAACGTCTAGGCCCTGGGCAAGGGGCAAACCTTTCCACAGACCTCCGACGGTTCCTGGCCACAGCCGCTGGTCTGACGTGGTCCGTGTGTCGAGGTGTGCCCAGGGCTGGCGAAGGCTGGCTCCGCGAGCGCCACCAGCCGCACCAGAGCTCCGGAGCTCGCGGCGCGCAGCGCTGTACCTCTCTGGCCGCCGATCAGACCCGAGCTGTGCCTCCGGTCAGCGCGTGCTGCTGTGCAGATGGCGCGCGACCATAGGCCCGTACGCCTCTCTGCGCCACCTGCTGCGTCGCTCTCTCGTTATACCGGCGCGGCGTGGAGATGAGTTGTATGCAGCCCGTCAGGACTGGCGCACTTGGTCACATGCGCAGCACATGCTAGACCAAGGAAACGGAGGGGAGGGGGGGGGGGTACATGCAATCGGGCCGTGGCCGACGGACCCGTTGTTAGGTATCAAACGAACTTGCAGTTGAAGCGCTCATGCATGCAGATATCCTCATCATCGGACATGTTTGTTTACAAACATTCGAATGGCGCTTTCAGGCCCTCATATCCTCACAGGATTTGTTAGGGATTACAAGCATGACATCGGGCAATTCCCTGGGCAAGTGTAAGTTATAAACCGGGGAGGGAGAAGCATGTTCTCAGGCTCGTTCCAAGAAGAAACAAAGCTCCACTCACGGGCAATCGTTGGGCCAAACCCTATTGCAGACAGCTGTGAGTCAGTTGAAATCCCAAGAACAGGGATAGGAACATGCTTTCGGCCATGCGTGGGTCATCTCCGTCAGTTCCAAAGGCGGCGTGTCTGAGCAAAAGCACAAAAACGCGGTGCTACGGTCTATTCCACTGGAAACCTACGCTTTCCCTATTTTTTGTTCCGTCCAGGAAAACTGCATTTCTGTTGTCTCCACGCAGTTTTCAGATAGTCTATAGATGAAAGTCGATGCAAGCCAAAGTATGCCATCAGAGATAGCACGAGGTCGCCTCAGATAATTTCACGACCTTGCAATTCCCATGATCTTGGCCTCCGATGATCCGATGAGTATGATCTTAAGTACGATTAGTAGTAAGTAAGTAAGTAGATAGAGTAAGTACGATTGCAGCACTGCTGCATTGTGATATATCTAGCAATATTGAATTGGTTACCACTTTTATTATGACTGGTTTCCATAACCTTGCCTGACATTACCTTAGTATTGAACGAGGCTTACGTCACCGTTGACACGCATCATTCATTTAAGTTTATGTTGCAAAAACGTCATGAGCTAATTTCAACAACTTCAATATTTCACCTAATGTGACGTTGATGACGTTAACGTGACGTGACGATGACGTTAACATGACATAATGATGGCGTTGATGCGACGTTAACCTAATGTTCGCAAGGGTCAAGGGCAGTAATGGCGCTTATGAGACAAGCAATCCACAGCCTTGAAATACGAAAAGATGTAATGAAAGCAAAGCTCAGAAGCGCCACCGAGGCGTAAGCTTTCAAACCTGGCGCTGCGCAGACATTTGAGAATGTGAATGGTTGGTGTGGTAGGTAGAGTGGAAGGTTTGCACCTGCAGGTGAGGTGTACAAAATAAAGCTAAACTGCCCCGTTTCAAGGGTTTTTAATGGCGGTTTCCGGCTGTTCAGAGCCTAGTTTCGTCATACGAACCTACAAATACATGCACTTTTTAGTCTTGTCGTATGAGCACACGTGCTAGAAAAGCACATTTCAATGCAGACTCCGATTCTGATATAGCTCCCGGAAAGGATATGCTCTAAAACTTTTTCATATAAGATACGTGCGCGCACTTTCCAATTATGCGGGCCCGCAATGCTGTTTGATGAAACGAAGCTCGAACCGGCGCGTTGGAAGCGTTCACACTTCTACAGTGAACACCTTATGTGCGTAAGTACCGGCCAATGACGCATGCATGCTGACAGCTGCCGTCTCGTGAGGCCGTGACGTCACGCTGCAGGGTGTTGCGAGCTAGAACGCCGTCGGCGATCTTCCGATCACAATAATTTATCATGTTTGTAAGAACATTAACAGCTATAAACAGCTATCATTCTAATCGTTGGACCTGGAGGTTTTCTGTTACCATAAACACGCATCACTACATGACTAGACTTGCTAAGCATTTACCCTGCGTGAGTTGGCGCCGCGTTGCACTGGACCATACATCTTTCAAGCTATTTGAGCACCAACGGTGCTAACCATTTGTCTTCATTAATGAACATTCCTTAATATGACGTAGAGTTCATAAACGTTGGATATAATGAGCTTCGGTCATTGATTCGTGCCATGAGCTGAGCTGCGCGTCTCGTCTGGTTGGTCCCGTTGGGGAGTCCCGTCCCGGGAGGGACGAACGCTCGTTGCGACGCCCCACAAAACCCCCGGCTCAACGTAACCGTACACGTGTATTGTGCCAGCACCGGTGAACACCGCAGCAGTGCCGTCCGCCGGCGTCCTGACCCGGCCCTCTGGAGCAGCTGACCTGGACCCCTGGAGCGGCGTCTAACCCGGACCCCTGGAGCGACGTCAACCCGGACCCACTGGAGCGGCGTCTGACCCGGACCTTCTGGAGCGGCGTCTGACCCGGACCCCTGGAGCGACGTCTGACCCGGACCTCTGGAGCGACGCCGCCGGCTGCACTGGCGTGGTGACGTCATTTTGATTTGTGCACAGCTGAGTGCAGCACCACTCCACCGAGAGTTGCATTCACAGTTCCATCAGCGGTCGACAATAGCGCAGTGCGCAGAGGAGATAGCGAAACTCGGGCGATTAGCGTACGGGGAGGTCAGTGGGGTCGCGCGCGCAATGGAGGGCTGTTAATGGCCGGAACGCGAACGCCCGCCGTGTTCAGTCAAGAGGAATTAAATTTACGAAGAAGAGTATTGCTGCCTTAAAGCTATTCAGACCATGAATGTCGCGGCTCCTCAAGGAACTTAAAGAAAAACAGTGACTGTGTGTAAGCCACAACAACGCAAGAAGATATGTCTTCCGCGCACGACACATGCATTCGGAATGTACCCATGCAAATATCCAGCAACCCATTACTTAAGTCAACAGTGTACAAGTGGCGTGCCGCAAAGGGATCAGCTGAAACCCCTAGCCATTCAGAGATTCGCCCAAAGTTAGCAATGCACGAGCTGCAAGTGCTGCCCACCTGCCGTCCGACACAACACGTCCGATCTGGCCGACGGCGGCCGGTGCCCCCGTCGGACCACTTGCCGCGCGGCGAGTGTGAGATCAGAGGGCCCGTTGCAGACGCTGACCGCGGTCGGCTCGACCGCCTCGGCCAGCTTCGACACGCACAGCGGGCAGGGGCGGGGCCGGGAGCGAGGTGCCCAAGTCGTCCAACAAGTCAAGGACCATCGGTGCACGTAGGGTTTGTAACGCTACCAGAAGCACAAACGGTAAGAGAGCGGAGGCCTAGCCGCGCGCTGCTTCGAAACAGACAACGTGTCTCGGTCGACAACCGACACCTAAACGATTCGAATAATAACACTTCAAGGCAGGGAACGGCCAAAAGCCCTGATAACATCGAGCACCAGCCCTAGCCCTAGCACCACACCTGGCGGACCACGGGACCAGGACGTCGGCACCACATCACCACTGCCTGCCCCCTCAGTCCGTCCGTGGCCGGACTGCACGCGCTCGGCCGATCGTGGGCGGCCGTCACGGAAGTCACGCTCGTCACGCACTCAACGCCAGCGTCCACCGCCGCCGCCGCAGGGCGCAAGCCGGCGCTACCGGCGCGTCACACAATGACGCAGCCGGCGCAGCGTCATGCGCACCTCCTTGCGCATGCCGCGTTGACGTGGCCAGCAGGATGACGAGGGTGGATGAAGAACTCGGAGTAGACGATCATGTCGCAGACGAGGATGCCGATGGGGCGGCAGGATCCAGCCGTGGAGGCCGATCACCAGCAGCGTCGGAATGTACAGCACCAGGTGGCTGAGCGTGATGAGAAAGGACGCCATGGCCGTGCGCTCTAAGCCGCGGTAGTCGAGGATGTGCACGCTCGTGGCGTTGGCCGCCGCCACCTGCTTCCGCCGCAGGAAGATGGCCACCAGCACGTAGCCGACGATGATGGTGAAGAGCGCCAAGCAGTAGATGACCAGGATGAAGATGAAGAAGACGGAGGGCAGTTTGGGGATGCACAGAATAATGGCCGGCTCGAAAAACGCGTTGAAGCCGGTGGTGACGAAGACAGCCACGCTGAAGGAGAAGACCCAGGACAGCATCACAATGAAGCTTATTAAGTGGATGGGGAAGAGAGGATACTTACCGATCGGTAAACACGAAGCCAGCACTCTGTCAATCTTCAGCATGATGAACATGATGATATGCTGGAGCCAGAGGAGCACGTTGATGATGCTGTTGATGCTGCAGACGATCTCACCGAACGTCCACTCACCCTGCATGGTGGTAATCAAGGGCACCGGCAGCACGCAGAGTGCTCCTATCAAGTCCACGATGCACAGATTCTTAATGAGCAGAAAATGGACGGTTTTCAGCTTTAGGTCATTATGGTAGATGTTCTGAATGACGCAAATGTTTAGGACGACCGAGGCGGTGATGATCAGACAGATGCACAGCGACTGGGCCGGCTTGTTCATGATCGACAGCTCCGGCTCGCCGAGCTCGTCGTGCTTTTTTTGCCTCCTCCAGCATTTTCTCAACCTGGTTTGGAAGATGCAGAGAACGGATTGTTAGCATGGCGTACCAAGCCGCGGCGTGCCATTAGCTCACACTGGCTGACGGGAAAACTAGGCGTATGACCACATCGTGACACATGGCTATTGAGCGTCAGGCATCAAGCCAAAAATTTAACGCAAATGCATCATCCGGATTATCATTACACACTGCGATATCGAAACCGCTCACGGGCAAGTGACGAACGTTGGGATAGGTGAGTGGGCTCAGCGGTCCAGCATGTGGGCTAGTTAATAGCATACGTCTGCCCAATATCAGCACCGATGAGTGTGAGTCAATGCATCAAACGAGAGGGTGTTTGTTTGAGAATGCATGACTTCACTTTTCAGCTGGCAATACATGTTGCAGGACTTCTGCTCTTAGCTATCAGACCAATCAAAGAGCGAATCTTTTCAGGCGATCAAATAAATGAGCGATGTCATTCGCATTCGCCCATGGACTGAGCCTCTCTGAAAAGCGAGGACTTCCGGCACTCACCATCAAAGCCGACATCGTAAGTTCAAGTGGTGTAGCTCTGGAGTAACATGTTAGCCAAACAATCCCTCCTATGCCTCCCGTTGATTTATGCCAACACCAAACTTGGAGAGAAAGTTTAGTAAGACAGACTTAAACCAATGGGATTTTCGAAAGTCTGCTCCGCAGCAGACCTCTGCATTGAGAAAGTGTCCTCAAACGCAGTCCTGCGTGATAGGAACTAGTCCCACCACGTAAATCTACGCTCGGACATGATCCCCTCTCACAGAGCTACGTTTCCCAGAGCTCTCGCCGACCCACCAGCCACCCGCTGGCCGCCGCCGGCCGCAGGCCGCCGCCCGGAGCCGGCCAGCAGCCAGCGTGTCTCGCACATCCGCACCGCTCACCCATTCATCCAGGCACGGTGGAATAGTTGGAGAAGATGCTGAGCAGGCTGCGCCAGCTCTCGAAGTCCGGCTGCGGGCGGCCGCGCGGCGCCGCCGTCACCGTCATGGGGTCGGCGTCCGCGACCATCGGCCGGCCTGAGATGGTCATCGACCGCTGCCGCCGCCGCCGCTGATTGTCGGAACGGAGCGCCGCTGCCCCGTCACGCGCTGTGGACGGGACTGACGCACGATCAGCCCTCCGGGAGTTCATTGCTGGGTCTTGACTTGCTGAGCAGTTAGGCTGCATATGAGCAGTGCCCAGGAACAAAGGTTGAACTGATCCAAGTAGATGTAGGCGTGTGCATTGGAAATAAATGAATTTTCAATGCAAGCCATTTTGGATGGGGGAAATCCCCAAATATGACGGATCCGATACCTTGGTATATTTGTCTTACACAAGAATATCGGCCACACTTAACTCTAAGGTCACTTTATTGTTGCATTTAAATAAATAGAAATGCACTGATATATGATGTGAGCCAAAACGTCCTGTACGGAAGAATTTCACCACCGCGTGCACTAAGAGCCCCAGCACAATGCCGGGCTGAGAACTGTCTGCAAACCCTTTAACCCCATAGATTCCAACTTCAGAACTTCTTACATTTACTTTTATCAAACAGACAAAATAATCGACACGAAAAACTCAATGCAACGGTGTCGTAATGCATCATCTCAAAAGCACGTTTGTCACAACAAAGCCAGATTCTGTCCCCACTGTTACCAAAACTGTCCCGAACTTGGAAAAAGCTATGAGTGGATTCGATATTTGGCAAGTGGGAAGAAATTTGGCTGAGTGAAGGTGCATGGAGTATTAACCATTTCCCTCGCCATTACATTCCGTTAACTGGTGTGAATCTGTACTTTTTATGCTTTGCCTGTGCTCCCTTTTTCCGCAATGGACGTGCCTGTTTTTATTTATTTGACGTAGATGCGTAGGGACCATATGTCAGTGCAGATGCACGTAATCCGTTCATACAATACCATACAATAAAGGCCGGTCAGTGAGTTAAATTTTGGCTGTAGGTCTTAACGACAACCAACTCCATTCAAATTCCAGGATGCCCACAACGTACCCCCAGAAGCCAAACAACTTTCTTTTGCTTCAAAGATTTTGACCCTTGCATATGAATTTCAATCGCCTTTTGTTTTGCACCGCCACCACTCCAAAGGTCGGGGATCCAAAAGCAGCAGCCTGGCAGCAGCCGCCGTTGACCTTCCAAAAAAGCCTTCCGGTAAAATTCCCCACGGCGAACTGCCTGCTTAGTATGTGAAGCCATGTCTCCAAGAAAACGTGTGCGTTGTTTGGTGATGCCTTGATAAACATGACTGGTAACAACCACATTGCTTTAACAAAGCCTGCTTTCCTTACATCAATATTCCAGCCATTTTGTTCTATATTCTAGCCACGCATCCTCTGGCTGCACAGCTGCTCCTGAATAAGCAACTGTCATCACCTACAGATTCGTAGGACGGTCGACGCACCTGAAGCAACGCTCGGAAAAGTACGCCATCTTCCATCGGCGTCGCACCACTGAACGGACGACGCTCACTAAATCACAGGACCTCTGCTCCTTTGTCACTTTGTCACTGTCACTGCTCCTTTGTCACTCGATTCTCCCGCGCCATGTAAGTCACGGCCGCGCCGTTCAGTGATTGGACGTCCACCAACGCCAGATGTGACACCGCGGTCGGGACGACGCGGTCGCTCAGCTGGCGCGGAGTCGCCGCGGTGGGCGCAGCGCCACACAAAACCGCAGAAATATTGAACTGGTGCAAATTTGCGCGACTGCTTATTGTTGATCACTATTAGGGAGCCCTGGGGTGTCGTTTAGTTAATAGATATCGAAGGGGTTCCACGGAAATTTTTCGTAGATCTAAACTCCTTACTGTAAGCTTTTCTATACAAAGCCATCGCACCGGCATGCAGTGCATAAAACAGATTCAAAATGTACAGCTGCAAAAGTTTCTCGTATGGCTATCATGAACAGATAACCCAAGTAATTCTATGGTGTGCTGATCGCCTGATTCCTGTGGCACACGATATGCGCCACAGCGCAGATAAAGCCATGGGTCACGAGGCATGCCATGACTTTCTAGACGTTTGGCCACAAAAGATGCCTGGTAATTTTAAAGCTGTGTTTAAGGTCACGGCGTTGGTTGAAATTGGAGGCAATTTCTTTCACCGGTAGCATGTTGTCAGACATTGATGCATTGTTGAGCGAACACTGGGTCCTGTCTATTGCGAGCCGCATGATAGCGTAAGAGATATTCGAGAAGACGTTAGGGTGTTCGGTACAGGCTTTTATCTGATATACAATGCCACTCGGCACTCGGCATGAAGGAAGTTGGCGTTGGGGTTTTTTATCGGAATGGCTTTGGTGAACATGACATCTGAAAGATGTGTCTTTGGTTCTGTTTTCTCTCAATCATAAAGATGTTCGCTGAGGAGTAGTTTGAGGTGGCGTTTGATCCACCTATGTTGTTATCCTCCCGGCAAAACCTGCAAGTGATTTCGTGAGGGATATTTTGTGTGCATGTGTGCATGCTGTTTGCATGTTGTATGTGCATTTTGTGTCCCTGGGCGTCAACAGTACATGTACAAAGGTGTCCGAAGTGCATTGCATAATTTTTGACCGATGGACAGGGCGGCGGGTTCAAACAGATTGGACCACAGTGTCCGATGTGATTCTACCTCTCCGCCACGTTATCTTAACGGACGAGCACGATGCGCGAACTTTCGCTTGAACTTTCATTGGGAAGTCGTCAATGAATGGTTATGACACGCATGTCACACTTTTCATGCTTTGAGTGCTTGAACATGAAAAAACCGTGGCTGCTTGTAATTGAAGCGAAATTGCTTGAGTGCGACCATTGCTTGGACATGGAAAAATTGAAGATGTATTGGTGGAAATGCATTATGTACGAGGTGTGCTGAATTCATTCGTTTGTATAGGCAGTCAATGTGTCGTATTTTGTTGGTACTACAAACATTTATTAAATATGAAATAAGCTAAAAATAAAAGAAATGATAACCTAAAAATATTTATCTGTAACTATCCATCATCGAGATAAGAGTGCATGTTTTTGGGCGAACAAAGCCGTCTCTTCGATCTAGTCACGATAACAAACATGAATGACTGCGCGCACCACTTATCAGGATGTTGCAAGGCCCCTGCACCTCAGTTAGTTTCCATTCGTAACGGTACAATTCTCAAAAAGGGTTCTAGGGCTTTGTATACACTTCACGAAAGGAAGAAATTCCGTTTGTCACAAGGTCCGAATGGTTAAGATGTGCATCACGCAAGTTCGACCATTGCTTGAACACTCTGCGACTGTTTTTCATTCAGGGGCTTTCAAGCCACCAGACCCAACAAAGGCCAGTATGCCGAAGATTTTCAACGGCTTTTAGCAGCCCTGAAAAATGAAAACCCTTGCAGGCAGGTGAGAGACGCTGTGTTAAACGGTTTCCACAGCAAATTCTGAGATCTTCAGGGCATAGAGACATTTCTCCCACCAACAACGGAGGCAATCTCAGCTAGAAATACTCGAAATGAATGACACGCTGCATGCATGTCGCTGTGGTGAAACACCGCAAAAAAACAAGCATACCGTGTATCATAGCTCTTAGAAACATGAATGAATTGCATCTAGATGAGGGGCAAACCTTCTGCCATAAGCACCACCCGCATCCGTGAATATATTAAGTGAATGTAAGAGGTTATTCTGCGCTTACAGGCGATGATTAGCCCGCGTGCTATGAGTTTATACTTGAAGCCGTATTGTATTATATACCGTA